TAGACCAGGGCGTGGAACTCTCTTTTTCTTGCCAAGGAGTTAGTTAGGCGCCCTAAGAGCAGGAAGCCGGAACCAAGGGCCTGAATATTCTGTAACAGAGGCTCAAGTAGGTTTGGTTTGCTGTGGAAAGTGCAGAGAGGGTTGAGTGAACCCTTGTAGAAAGCAATTGCTATGCACCAGGTAGGCGTGGACACCTCATTTAACCCTTCCAGGCTGTTGTTAACCTTTATTTTCCAGAGCAGTAAACTGTAGCAGGCCTCCGACCTTTGTAAGCCCTCAGACCTTAGCACAACTGACTCCATGATGGAAGTACCATTCAGGCTCTAAAACTCAACAACACAAAGAGCACCATCTGCCAAAATGAACATAAAGGGCTAATCCATCAAAATCCACAGTTCTTCAAAAGTCTCTAAATACGCTAACCTTGCCTTTTGGCTTCTGTCATTCAGCTTCTAGCTAGTTTTGTAAACTGAAGTATGCCAACTCCGAACCATTTTTGAGCTTACTAGCTCACCCAGAGAATGGTTCTGTGCTGCACTGGGATAGCTACCCAGGGCAATAAAGCTGGGTAGTAATCGGTATGAACCATCTTCTCTAATGGATACTCCACAACAAAACCAAATCCAGAGAGATTGAATAATTTTCGTAATGCCACATAGTGGCACACTCTGGGTTAAACTCTGGCCACTTGGGAACCAGGTATATAATATGCCCCCCCCCCCAATAAGTAGGAATTATTGCAGGGATGCTGAGGGGGCTTGAGCTGGAAGGGGCTGGATAACTACTACTGCAGGAAGTAGATGCCAGGGGATAATGGTGGCTGGAATCACCTCTAGAGTCACCTGGCTGGAGACACCTGGTGTTCAGCTTTGCCTTGGGTTCTGACTCCAGCTGTGGTGAAGAGACCGCCAGTGTTCTTGGCTAATCTGTGATAGAGAGGGAGATCCAGATGGATCCAAAAGCCTGCAAACCGAGGTCTTGTTCTGCTAGTTAGAAAGAATTTCAATGCCGAAGACACCCTACTGTCCTTCGGATGGATTCCGAGATTTTTTTTCTTTTGTAAAGTTCAAAAGATTGTCAAAAGCACACAAATGACAGAGAAAATTGAAAATATCAGGTAATAAACATCAGCATGAGAAAGTCAAACATTTCCAAAGTATCTGGTAATTCTTGTGAAAAATATTGAATGGATGCTTTCAATTCCTCTCCTCAACATTAGCTGATTCTTTTTCTCCTTGTCCACTACAGCCTGGAAATTGTACTTAAGTCAAGAAAATTTGGTGAATATATACATAAAGTTGCAACACAAAACAAACAAAAAAATCTGTTAAAACCATGTCTCAATATGTAGCCCATGATGTTCCTTAATTTATAGTCATGCTGCCTCAGCCTCCCAAATGCTGCCACCACATCTTGTTTAAAGTTGAATTAATTTTTCTTCCTTATTCTAAGACAGGGTCTTGCTGTGAAGCCCTAACTGGCCTGGTACTGGTCATGTAGTCCAGGTTAGCCATGAACTCGAGGAAAACATCTTGCCTTGGCTTCCCCATTGCTGGGATTATAAGCATATGCCTCTTGTCTGGCAAAAGTTGATTTCTTTACAAACTACTAGCTGGGCAGTGGTGGTGCACACAACCTTAATTCCAGCACTTGGAGGCAAACGCAGACAGATCTCTGAGTATGAGGCCAGCCTGGTCTGCAGAGAGAGTTCGAGGACAGCCAGGGCTGCACAGGGAGACCCTGTCTTGAACAAAAATTAATAACAAAATATGTTAGAAAATGATGCTAATCTTAAAATATGTCTGCTAGTTTTTGAAGTTTTAAATCTTTGGGCAATAAAATAGAACTCTGACTTGCAGGTGTCACACTGGATAATGATACACAGAGGAATCCTATTCAGATGGACTGGATTCAAAGGGGGAAAGGAGCCATGGCAACAAGCAGGAAGCAACTTAGTTTTGTTTTTGGAGGTTTTTAATTTTTAAAAATTACATTATAAGTTGTAGCGTGCACAGAGTGTGGTATGCCTGCCAAAGTCAAAGCGGGCTGTAAGTTCATGTACCTGCTAAGCTGTCTTGTCAGCTCCAACATGTAACTTCATTTAGATCCCTACTGCAGGTTGCAGGGTCTAAATCAAGAAAGCCTCCCTCCACAGTATAGGAGACTCGGGGAAAAAACTGAGTTGTTCTTACTTGTGAAGTTATATTTTTATTATGATGTGGACATGGAATTCTGCTTCTCAAAATCTCTTTGTATTCCATACTTGTCCTTTGCCAGTGTTTTGAAACATATGAGTTCTTTGTTTAGGAAGCTGCTAAGATACTAAAATTAGAGTTTGACAATTGTTGATGAAAGATTTCCTATCAAAGAGTTGAGACAAATGGCAAAGCAGCTTGTGGGGACTCACACTTTTGGTCAAGCATTTGAGAGGCTGAGGCAGGAAGGTTATACAAAGACTCAGTTTCTTTCTGTCTGTCTGTCTACTGATCTATCTATCGATCGATCGATCTATCTATCATCTATCTATCATCTATCTACCTATCTATCTACCTATCTATCTATCTATCTATCTATCTATCTATCTATCATCTATCATTTATCTATCATCATCTATCATCTATCTATCTGTCTATCATCATCTATCTATCATCTATCATTTATCTATCTATCTATCTATCTATCCATCCATCCATCCATCTATCTACCTAACTTTTTGTCTGCCTATTCATCTATCTATCTACATCTCTCCTTCCTTGATGCCACGTGCCTCTGCATCACCACCGGCCTCCAGAACACCTGGGCCTATGAGACACCTTCTCATAAAGTTGATTTATTCCGGGCATTTTGGGACAGAGTTGGAAAGATGACTAACACTAGTCGTTAAGGAAATCCAAACCAAAACCATGATGGGGTGCTACCTCATACTTACCAAGATGGCTATTATTTCAAACCCTCAAAAGTAATATGCACTGATTAGAATATGGAGAAAATGGAGCCCTTGTGAGCAAGTAGGAGACAGTCATGGGGCGGGGGGCTGTTCTCCATCTTTAAAATTTTTTTTCCCATTTTTGAGACAGGTTCTCACTTCATAGCCTTGTCTGGCCTAGAACTTGGTATGTAGACCAGGTGGCCTCAGACTCAAAGATCTCCCTGTCCCTGCCTCCCAAGTGCATTAAGGCATGTGCTACCATGTTTGTCTGTCTTAGTTTTGAGACAGGGTCTCACTGATTTGACTAGTCAGTCTGGTCATTGAAGACCAGGCATCCTCTTGTGTCTGCCTCCTCGGCACTGAAATTATGCAATTGCAGAAGTGCAGGAGATTCAAACTCAGGTCTCCATGATTTTGTCACAGAGCATCTTACTGACTGAGCCATCTCATCACCACATACTTCTTTTAGAGACAGGGTTTTACATAGCCTGGGTTTGACTGGAACTAAGAAGCAAAGACTGTAGTTGAGCCACCAGTTTGGTTCTCTTCTTCTAATGGTTGAAGCTACTGGGGGCAGGCATTCAGCTACTTGATCAATAGCTGCCAAACACTTCTCCTATGTTGGCTGTAGTGGTAGTGACCTCGGAGCAAACCCCACGTCTTCCCCAAAGAAGGCAGAGATCAGAGCCCAGTTGGAATTATTCTGCTGTTCCTGAGTCCAGTAGACATGTGAGCCATGTTGCTGTTACTATTGAAGTTAAGCATGTGGTAATGGTGTGTGTAGGGTGTGTGGGGGGGGTGGGTATGCGTGTAGGGTATGTGTGTGTGTGTGTGGGGAGACACAACTGCTTTGATCCAACCATTTTTGTGGAGACTGTAGGAGCTGTCAGTTGTACAAATACTTCTCTCAGGACTTCCCCATATGTTGTCATGGGAACCTTGGCTGCTTTTAATATCCCATGGCTACCCAGAAAGACTTTGATTCATCTTCAAATGCCCAGTTGTTTATATACACAATAGAGCCTAACTTCCAGTGTGTGTGCCTGGATTCGTGTTTGTGCATGTGGGGTGGAGGGATGGGTGGGTGGGGTAGCAATAAGATATAAAGGAGAAACCAGACCATGACAGGAGAAAAGGTTTAAGGAAGGGATGTGGGGAGATGGGCAATCGAATCAGGTGACGTGGTGGTGGTAAAGGGGCCCAAGCTGTAGGGAAAACTTGGACAGAAGAGCAGGGGAGGAGGAGCAAACAAACCAAGTGTTTGTGAAAGATCTCAGCCCAGAGGAAGGTGGACCTCTGTGAGTGTGTGTGTGTGTGTGTGTGTGTGTGTGTGTGTGTGTGTGTTTTGTGTTCAGTGGTTGGTTGTCTTTTGTGTGTGTGTGTGTGTGTGTGTGTGTGTGTGTGTGTGTGTGTGTGTGTGCAGTGCCAGAGGAGGACAGGGGGTGGGGTCAGTTCCCTTGGACCCGGAGTTACAGGCCTTTATGAGCTGCCTGCCATGTGAGTGTTAGGAACTCTGGTCTTCTGCAAGAGCAACTTGTGCTCTTGATTGCTGAGCCATCTTTCTGATCTCCTCCCCTGCAAGGTGTTTCTAGTGGGGCAGGGGTGTCACTGACACCGAGAAGCAAAGGCTCTCTGTGGCTAGTCCAGTGAGGTAGGATGAGGCTTGGAGACTGATTCTGCTCTTTTTTCTTTTCCAGACCAGGTCTCACAGGTCTCAGGGTGACCTTGAACTCCTGATCCACGCCTTCCTCTACCTCTTGTACGCTAGGATCACAGGAGAGTGTCACCATATCTGGTTTATGTGGTGCTGAGGGTCACACTCTGGGATGTGCGTGTTAGGAAAGTGCTCTAGCAGGTGAGTCCATCTCCAGCATGGAGCCTCTTCTGACTTCCATCAGAGCCAACCAAGCTCCATCCAGAGAAGCAAGATGAGACATTATATATCACATGTGTGACAGTGTAAGACACGGCTTGAAAGATGTGCACTGTCTTAGTTACTTTTCTATGGCTGTGATAAAACACCATGACCAAGGCAGTTGCTTAGAGAAGGAAGTTTTATTTGGGGCTGACAGTTCCAGAGAGAAAGCGTCCATCTTGGCAAGGAGGTCTGGCAGCAGGCACAGTGGCTGGAGCAGCCACCGAGAACCCACATGTCACATTGAAAACTGGGAATGGCACGAGTCTTTGGGCTCTCAAAGCCAGTCCCCATTGACACACTTCTTCCAGCAAGGTCCCATCTTCTAAACTTCCCCAAACAGCCACTAACAACTGGGGACCAAGTATTCAAATGCCTGAGGCATCTGGGAGACAGCTCCTTCAAACCGCCATGTGCGGTTAAACTTTTCTTTCTACTCATTCCTCTGTTGGTTGTGTTTGTACATATGTACATTCACATGCATGTGTGGGTGCCCATGTGGTGGTCAGATGACAACTTGCAAGAGTGAGTTCTCTCCTTCCACCATGTGGGTCCTGCGGATTGGACCCACTGAGCCATTTTTGTTGCCAGATGCGCAGTCTTAAGCTTGGAAATTGGTCCTGTATTCAGCCCTCCCTTTTGCAGATGAAAGGCTGAAGGCTTATCAGGTACAGCATTGTCTCTGTAGGCAAAGGCAGTGAGAGAGAAGAAGGAAGACTAGGAGGGTGGAATTGGGTCTGTTGCCACACCGACAAACAGGACTTGAGAGAAGGTCGGAAAGCAGTCGTTCTTATTTTCCTTAACGTGGGAATTCCTTTTATTGAGGTATAACAATTTTATAAAAATTGTGGGTCCTGACCCACAGCCCTCTGAGGTCACCAGACAGCAGGTTCCCACGGCTTCCGTCATCTGTGGTCCTCACCATTCTGGTGTGGATGGCCTTACCACAACAAATGCATTTTCCTCAGGCTTCCTCTCTGGACAAAACCTCTCCTAAACCACTGCCTTCACTTTACATCTGCAGACAGACATTGTTTTTTATAAAGTGCTTCCAAGCCCTGCTTCTCTCTTGATCCTCCCAAATCCCTGAGGTAGATAGGGAGGGGCTGTGATCCACCGTACATCCTCAGTCCTCTAGTGTCCTGGGTGGGCCCAGTCAGCCTCGCTTGTATGGACTCAATGCTTTCTTCTTCCTTTCTCATTTTCCCCAGCATCCTACTGGAGTCCTTGGCAGATTCAGTACAGAAGGGCAGATGTGCCTGGGTGACTGCAGCCTGTAGTGAAGTGCAACTATCCCTGGGGTATCCAGTGAGCTGATCTTCCCAAAGCTTGCAACCTTTCCTGTTTTTTATTCATCGTCTAATCCTACATTTCAGGGAAGCTGGCAAATCTCCCTTTTGTCCAAAGGAATCTGATGTTGTTTTCTCTTGCCTAAATGTTAGGCATCAACCGGAAGGGTTCTAAAAATTAATATAATTTAATTCCCATCAGGTCAGTGAAAAACAAAGGTATTTTAGGAAAAAACACGGAAGGCTGAAACTTGCCTCCTCTTTTAGTTCAGTTTCTCAAGTCAGCAAGGAGCACAGAGTTCTTTGTGGGCCAGGATCCCCTGAGTTTGCTGGGCCCACCGGGCAGAGAGCTGCGGTTTGATTCTATTCTAGGTAGCCTCTTATGAGGACAGCAACAAGTAGCCCACTTGCCTTGTTCAAAATGGAGATTCTCGCAATACCTGAACTTTCATCAAGGCCCGTTTCAGCTGCTCGTAGGTTACAAACATCATCACATTCCAGGCTCCCAAACGCAGAAAGGAGGGCATAAATCTGAAGAGAGAAACAACTACCTCGTGAAGAGGACCGGGCTAGGAGGCACAGACACACCTACCTGTGCTGTCTCCGTGCTATCTGAAGGCTGCTATCACATTCTTTCCTGAGATCCATTTTGGCTTTGATGTCACTGCTGAGGGAATTTAGGCAGGAGTTGGAATCAGAAAAGGAACAATAGCTATTGTTAAGGCAGGTTACCGTGTTTGGAAGTTAATTTTCAGAGGTCTGTGGGCTCACTCTGCTAGCTGCTTGCCCTTTGTTAGAAACTGAGGCCAGAGAGGCTTAGGCCCTCAAACCACAAAGTTGGTAAGTAGTGCTGTAGGGTTGAGGCACACTGTCTGACCCAACTCATCCTGATGCTAGGGGCTTTAGGCTCATTTACATGCATATTTCCACCCAGAGAAAGCCCGGGCTAGGACATCAAGAAGTAGATGTGGGGCAGGGAGGAGGGACCATGGCACCAGAAATCAGTTCGTCTCCAGAAAGCTCTGCTCGGCCACTACCCGGGGGAGAGGTCCATCTGACCCTGCTTCTCAGAGGCGGGGAGGATCCTGGCCTCTGGTCCCTTAGCTCAGTCACTGTCCAATTGCTCCCTCTTGGTCCCCCTGGGTTCTGTGGGATCAAGTTACCATGCACTGGGGATGCCAGGCCCTCTTCTGTCCCTTTAAACACATTGCTGTCCCCTCGGTTTGGATTGTCTTTCCAGTCTGAAGGGCTGCTCTTTGTGCTGTAGGATTCATTTGGGCATGGCAGCCAAGTACCATGGTATTTCCTTTGTTGGGGAGGGTATGGGAAGGCTTTACTATGTAGTTCTGGCTGGACTTGAGCTCAAGGCAAGCCCTGCTTTAACCAGCTTGTCATGGCTGTTCTTGAACCTTCATATAAGGATTATATCACCGTGGCAATATTATCCACACACCAGAGTCAAGCCAAACCTGGGCTAAACTTTTAGCTGCTCCAACTTCAGGTGCCTTGTCTTGGAAGTAAGGACAGTAAAGCTGGGTGTGCCAGCGCTTTGTCTATGATTCTCTGAGGGAGGTATAGGGCAGATCCTGGCACACACACAATGTTCAATAAACATTTGTCAAGTGAAAGAATAAACTGAGTCACAAGCTGAAAACACTCAGGTGAACGGTGTCGGGTAACAGGTTGAGTACACCATTTCCAGACACGAGAACCTCTGTGGCTTCTGCTGGTCTGCTGCGCCCAACTAAACATCACACACCAGAAAATACTAGCTGAAGGCAACGATGTGGGAGCCAAGCAAAGACCTTACCAGTGGGATAGGGTGTGGCCTTGGTATTGGGGCCTCCATTTTGAAGCACATTGTGGGGATGACTACCCAATTCAGAGGGCTGTAGCAAAGCCCTACATAAAGTACCTCATACGAGGCTCAACGTAGGGACTTGGTTTTCAGGATGAAGATGAGCAACCCACACTATTGCATACTTGCTCTGTGTTTGGATCTTCAGATGATAAAAATGGATGAGTCACTGGCCTCAGCTCCAAGGAGCTCATGCACCAGCATGAAGATGAATTTGTAGGAGGTGAAATTACACTAGAAGTAGATCAAATAGTACTACTGATGTTCAGGGAGAGGAGGGAAACACGTGTGAGGGAGGAGGTGGCATTTGGACTATTCGGCAAGGGTGGCTGAGATAAGATTAAACAGATGTTGAGGAAGGCATCCCCATGGGCTAAGGTGCTGTGCACACAGATGCACACCCTTGGACTGAGTTTGAACTGTGGAACCCATGTAAAGGTCGAAGGAGGGCACCAACTTCACGATACACACACACACCACACATAACATGTTATGGTGATAATGATAATCCTTTCATGCAGGCACAGGAAGCCTGAGTGTTGGCGTGGAAGAATGGCACTCACGTTGCCATGAGTGTGGTGGTGAATGGTCAGGGCAGCAGGGGTGAAAATCTCCCCCGCCCAAAGTATTTGGAGACAATAATTTTATCTAGTCATGGCCTACTTTTTCTTAGGCTTCTGGGATAAGAAGACCCCAAAAAACAGGTGTGGTGGTATAACCCCTGCACCAGGTGTGTGTGCAGGGTTCAGAGGTGGAGCCAGGGGAATTAGAATGTCAAGGTCATTGTTCTAGGCTGGTCTGAAATTCACGAGACTCAGTCAGAGAAAAAAAGGGAGAAAAGGACAAAGAAGACAGGAGAGAGAGGAAGAGAGAGAGCCCAAGTTTTTTGGAAAGAGTGGTAGAGGCAGAAGGTGACAGCTTACCCTTTGTAGAAGGCTGTGGGGCCCTCCTGCGCCACCATCTTCAGCATACAGTGTAGCGGGCTGTGGTACCTGCCTGGGGGAGCATTCATGTATCTGGTCTTTACCACATCCACTGGGGAGGCCACCACTGTGGCACAAAAGCCAGCTCCAAAGGCGGAGACAAAGTGACAGGGGAAGTTGTCTGTAGAAGGGGAGGGAAGAACAAATTCCAGGAATGGAGCAGGTGTGTAAGCTTTGCATCTCCAGTGCAACCTTGACCTGGAGCACAGTACTCAACGCTCTTGGTTAGTCTTCACAAGCTAGAACCTAGCATCTCTCATTTCTGAGTAAGAAAGCTGTGTAGTTTTTTTTTCTTCTAGGAAACTGAAGTCAGAGAAGACAAGTGACTGTCACAAAGACTGAGTATGGTGCTGGCCCTGGAACCCAGGGCTCTGGGCTCTAGCCTAGGCCTCTTTCTTCATCATAATCCTGAACTGGGTACTGCTCCTTGCTCTGTTTTTTTTTTTTTTTTTAGATCCCTGATGCCTCTTGAGTGATACCCACTCCTGTCTCCCTACCCACTCTCACCAGTGAACAGGTGAGAGTCCAGCAGCTTCTCCTTGATGATGTCATAGGTCACCATCTCAGCACAGTTGACAATGGCGTTTCTCGTGATGTTGGGCCAAGTCCCTGTTAGGAAGGCAGGGAGGACTGATGAATGCAATGCTCCAGCTTGGGTACTGAGCTCTATAGCAGTGGACTTGGCCAGAGGACCACACCTCAGCCAAGTAGATCCCACTTTCCTTCTGTGGTTATCAGCTATCAAACTCCTGTACCTTCACAAACAGATGCCCATTGCTTGGCTGCATTTGGAGCATAGTTTGCAATCTGTCAACATTTCAACATGCCTCCCGGAGACCCAGAGCAGTCAGGAGAGGAAATTTTCCATGGAAGAGGGAGGCTGAGTCCCTAGGACAGTGACAGAATGTATGGCAGGACCCTGGGAGGCTTGGCATGCGTGGGACACCAGCAAGAGGGTACATTGGCACCACTGTGACTGGGGTGTCCTACTCTTAAACACCACAGGGCCATTTTTCTCATGCAAAGATTCATGGGAATGGTGGTCCAAGCACAGGAGGGATTCTGGCATTTGCCAAGGGCTAAACACAGGGGACTGACTCTACAGTCTTCATTCCCAAGGAAGTCCCCCTCACTCATCTCACTGCAACTGGCTCCACAGCTGTGCTCCTCCGTGCTTCTGTTTCTGCTCTGTCCTCTGAAGGCTTTCCTCTTCTGTCCCTACATCTTGGCCTTTGAGACAAAGTGATTTTTGGATCCAGCTCAGCCTCTCCCACCTCTGGCCTGCCTCCTGGCCCCCTGCCTGTGATGTAAGCTGCACCTTGGCCTCCTTAGTTCCTCTGCAGTAAAACCAGGAGGAGGGGACACCCTGTGTTCATTTCTGTCTCTCTCAGGCTGGCCTACGCAGGGGAGGACTGGTAAGGTGAACAATATTCGAGGTCCTGTCCAGGTGGGGTATTGTATTTGGGTGTTCTTTGGGAGAGCCATGCTTTGGGAGTTCCTGCTCGCTGGGTTCCCTGTCTCAGTCCTCAGGATAGGAAAGCTCTGCCCAAGGGTACCATGTTTACCTTTCCACAGGCCCCTGACTCCTTCCTCCCTGGCAATGGTTCTGTAGGCATCCATAGTCCCTCTGTATTTCCTCTCGCCTCCAGTTCCCAGGCGTATCATGGCTTGAAATCGGACCTTCACCACATCTGTGGGCTGGGCACAGGTCACTGCCATGGCTCCTGTGGTGCAGCCTGCTAAAATCCTGATGGCGATGCTGGAGTCTGGAGATGGCAGAGAGAACTGTGAGCACTTAACACCGTCAAAATCTTGCCAGTGTCTATCACCAGTTTCCCCACGTCCAGTTCTCCTTGTTGGACCACTCCATGTCCTTGACCCACAGGCCAGCTGAGCTCCCACCCACCACTGGGTGTCCCTGGTGCTGGCACTCACGGTCCTCTCCTTTGGGAGTGTAGAACTGTTTGACAGAGTCGTAGAGGCCGATTCGAATGGAGGCAAAGCTCATCTGACGATGCAGGCCAGCAACCAACCCGCTGTAGGGGCTCCGGGGACCCTCAGTGCGCACCATGGTCAGGATGGTACCCAGCACACCGCGGTACTGTACACTCTGCGCCCCTGGGTTCTCCCCCTGGATCTGAGGGACAAGTGCAGGGCCTGAGAAGCTGATGGGTGCCTGGGGAAGGAGGGGCTGTGTGTGCAGGATGGTGCAGTTCACAAAGCTGCTCTCAAACTGGAGCGGTTGGTTTGCCTTCCATCTTATAGTAGATGGAGAGCGGCTCACCCAAGCCCACACCGTTACTGCCTTACTTTTATTTTAGCCTTTACGTTTTACAAAGCAGAGGTAGGTAAGCTGTAAAGAGGCACATCACAGCTGGGTATTTGGATTATTTTGGTCCTGAGGGATGGTGGTAGGGACCAAAGCAGTGTGTGGAGTGGCCTTCCGCCAACTCTGTGTGAGGAAGTTGGCACCTGGGCTGATGCTGTGCAGAAGCAGCTCCTCCTTCCTCATGAATCACAACCACTGGCCAAAGACACCCACCTGCAGGCGGACCTTGGCAGTGTCCAGGGGGAAGGTGAGGAGGTCAGCAAAACAGGCTGCCGTGCCAGCCCCTAGGAACTTCACAACTGTTGTCGGAGGCACTTCTGAAGGCTGAAGCCCAACCATGGTCTTGAGTGGCTGGGCCTGGTTCCTTTGGTGCCTATGGAGGTTCAAGGAGCAAGGTCGCCTGGCAATCCTTCAGTTCCCAGAGGCAGCTGCAGGAGATAAGGCAGAGAACACACGGAGTCTGGGCTGTCTGGCTCTGTCCTGCTCCCAGAGATCTCACAACACCCTGAAGGGGCTTTTCAAAGTGAGAAGACTGGGTACTGCCACACTTAAGCTGCCTGTACTTGGCCCATAAAAATCCCGTCTTTCACACCAAACAATCCCTGTCACAGAGGATTAAGGGGCTAGCAGACAGGGCCATTGGTATCATCACTGAATGGCTGAGGAAACAGGTCTGGCAGGCAGCATGCCTAGTTCTGACTCCACAGGCACCCTGTTCTCACAGTGTCTGCTGTTTCCTCACTGGTCAAGTTTTCTGAGGTGTCTCATGCCTCTTTCCCAAACAGGACAAACATTACTTTCGACTGGAGATAGTAATTCATCCTGGACTAAGCCAGCCCCCCCCCCCCAAAGGATGCCTTAACCCTCCCGCCCCCTTGGTAGGTATTGAACTTAGGGCCTAGTGTAAGGTGAACCCTCTACCAATGAAATGCCTCCCTAGCACTCTTCTGTTATTTTTTAATTATTTATATTTTATGTATGAGTGCTCTGTATATATACCTGCATGCTAGAAGAGGGCATCAGATCCTATTACAGATGGTTGTGAACCACCATGTGGGTGCTGGGAATCGAACTCAGGACCTCAGCTGAGCCATCTCGCCAGCTCTCATATGTATGTATGTATATGTATGTATGTATGTATGTACGTATGTATGTATTTGAGGCAAAAGTTTCACTAAATTCCCCAGGACAGTCTTGAATCTAAGATCATACAGCTTCAGGTTCTCAAATGCTGGGATTCTATCCCTGCGCTGCCGTGTTTGGCCTGGATATACCTCTCTCTATAAAAGCATCCGTCTCAGTTTTTGTTGCTCCCCTCTGTAGGGTTTCCTGACTGGTCTGTTGGTGGAACTGGGCCTCAGGTTCTTGCTGTTGAGCCCTCTCTTTCCCAGTGGCTGAGGGCAGTGGTCTCACACCACTTGAGCTGCATTCGTTTGGAATACAGTTCTCTCAGACACCTGCAGACTGCCTCTTCACTTCCTTCACACTTCTCCTAAGATGTCACCTCTAAAGAGGATCTTTCCTGAACTCAAATGCTAACTCAGTATCACTTTCAACCATCTCATGGCACCAGTCACCCCTCGACCTCATCTACTGCTGTACTGTCCCCCTCAGATGCACCGGCTCCAGAACAGGGGCCTCACCCATCTAGGGGCGTTGTATTTGTTGAGAAAACAGATGGCAACATCTTTGGAAGCTCCCCTCTCACATCTGTCCAAGCCCCTCCTCACCTCATGCCCCTGAGCTACTCCAGGGATTCAGCTGGTAAAGGCCAGCACACATAAAGGGACCCACCCATAGGGCTTGGTTTCCCGGAATAAAAACCCATGCCTGTGAGCTGCCTATGGAGCATCGTCAGCAGACCATAAGGGCTGGTTTAGACAGTGCCCACAAATAACTGTAGTGCACGCTGAACTGTGTTCAGTATAGATGTGGTCAGTATAGGAGCTGTTGAGGAGGGTCCCAGAGGAGGAAGACTGTCCTTTTGCTTGTAAGGGGTACAGAAGGATTAATGTAGGCCAGGCTTGAAAAGGGTTTTTGTTGCTACTTCATAAGTGCAATTTTACTACCATTATGAATCATAAGGTAAATACCTGATATGCAGGATATCTGATATGGGGTGGGGGTTGAGACCCATAGATTGAGAATCATTGCTTTAGGGGAAGCTCAGAGCAGGAGGAGCTGACTGCTGGGCTGTAAAGGCCCTGCAGTGGAAGCTTTCCACATACATATCACCTCCCTCGATTTTCAGCTCCTGTTAGGAAGGGCAGCAGAGGCTTGGAGACATTAGCTTGCTCAGTGTACACAGCTCCTGGTGTCCAAACCCGTGTTCAGCCTATTTCAGATTCAAAATCACTTTGGAAAAAGCAGGGCAGTACCTAAATCCAGTTTACAGATGAGAAAATAGAGGCTTAAGATGGAAAGAGGTTGACTGACCGCTGGTCACAGAACTCCAATCTAATTGTTCTGATAGCCAAGCCATCAGTTGTCATTACTACACTATCCATGGTCTAGTCAACGTGGTCATCTGTCTTTGGTTGAGCATTCAAAGTAGTTACTGAGTGCTTCATAAAACCAAATATACATGCCTGGAGAAGGCTGGCTGAATACCAAGGTCTACTAATCAGATGAAAGTCATGGGCACAGAGAGGCTAAAGTCTATGTGGGTGGGTACAGTCAGACCTTGGCTCTCCAGGCTCTTCTTTCAGCCCATCTTCTTGTCTGTCTGAGTTGTAAATTGAGAGAAGCCCAAGAAGGGGGTTCTTTGGAGAGTGAGGCCTGAGGCCTGGGCTCTTGAAGCCAACTTGGCTGGGAACCAGCTGTGCAGGCGTGTTAAGGAAACACCATCCACTTGCTCAGGCCTCATTCCCCTTTGCCCTACAGAAGGGCAGCCAGGCCTGGCTCCTTCCCAGCAGGGAGGTACTGGATTCCCTGTCCAGGCCTGGCATGTACTGTGGGAGCAGCTGACTCTCTTTGCCTGGAGAGCTAGGCTGCTGGGTGACTTGCAATCATGAGTCTGAGGCTCACACAGAGGTGGAGAGGCCCCTGGGATGAGCCTGTCTCGGGACCACTCAGGTGCTGGCAGAAAAAAAAAACCTGTGTTCTGCTCTGCTTTGTAGAGAAACACCAAGGTGAGTCAGGCAAAGGACCCGTGTATGGCCATTGTCACACCGTGAGTGACTCCAGGGCACTTTCTGCTGGAGGGAACAGCGGGTGGGTGGTGCTGGTGCTGAGCCAGGTCCTGCAGAGACCACTTAATGGAGTTTTCTCCTTACTGGGGCCAGGTGCACCTCTGGAGTTTTTGCTTCCTTGTCAACCAGGGCTTCCCTTCTCAACTCACTTTGTTCTCTGCTACTTTTGACCCTGCTGTCTTGTAGCACTGCCTCACTATCTGTAGGTCCATAGGAGCCTCCAAAGCAGGGAAAAGATCAACTTTCCCTCCTTCTCTGTGAAGACAGCCCAAGGAGGGCCAGCTGCTCAAAAATCATTCTTACCAAAATGAGGAGACAGGAAATGAGGTCAGAGATGACCTCAGGACCCTTTGGTAGAGGGCTGCAAATGCCAAGGTTAGACTTAGTCTAGTGGAGAATGAGGAGGGCCTGGGGGGTTGGAGCATGCAGGTGCAGGCATCAAAGACAGACCAGTGAGGATGGTGTTGGAAAGGTGCTCACAAGAGACTAAAGCCTGAACTTGGTCAAGAGCTTGCAATTGGGTGCACCAAGTCTTTGAAGGAGTATCCCTGAGCCATGCATCGGAAATAGAAAGGACGGGGAGACATTCTTGAGTACATGGGCAAGGTTAGAAAGGCAGACACAGTAGGACCCTCCCTGAGGTCAGAGCTCCCCAATCTCCTCCTTGCTGTGCCTCAGCTGTTATTTGAAAATCCTGGTGGGCCGCAGATCTTTGCAACCATCTGGAGGTGCAAGTTCTAAGCAATCCTCATCCTGTGGCCCTGCTAGGGCACGCAAAGCATGGGATGCTCTAGTCTACAGGGCCCATTTGTGTTTGTTGAATGTGTCCTACCTTCAGCTCAACCCATGGGGTGCTCTAGTCTACAGGGCCCATTTACGTTTGCTGAGTGCGTCCTGCCTTCAGCTCAACCCGTTCTCTCTGGTAAAGCATTTGCATCTGCACTGAGGACGCCAGCAGGTAGAGTGAGCACAGGCTTTAGAAATGTCTGCCACACCTGGACCAGAGATGCCCTCATCATCTCTACCTAGGAAGGGCCCCAGGACAAGTGCTGGAGAGGGCTTTGTCCTCTGGGCGGAAATCCTGGGCCAAAGGAGGACACTGCCCATCTGTGATCTGTAAAATTCTGAGAGGGGCCAGTAGCACAAAGGGGAGTCCTGGGGAGTCACGCAGATATGGGAGCTTCCCTAGGGCTGCACTTCCTTCATCTTGACCAGCTGGGGCTAGACTGAATCACTCCTGGCTGTGAGCTTCTATGGAAGGGAGAGCAGGCAAAGGGGGCAAGGGGAGCTGAGGCAAGGTATGGGGTCTCACCTATGAGTCTAGCCAAGGTAGGGTAGTGCAGGGGCTCCCTGGGGCTCCATTCCAGTGGTGGCAGCAGGATCCGATGGCCCCTCCTCACCATTCACTGTTGTCTCTGTTGCCTCTGGCTCGGTACTGGTCTTAGGCACCAGCTGACCTGAAACCTAATTCTGAGAAGCTAGTTGACAGCCCGATCACTTGACAAGAGGCGGGCTGCCGTGCGGCAGGGCGGGGAGGGGACCAGGGAGTTCCAGATCTGGTTTAGCTTCCTGGACCTGGGGCTCTTTAACATGGCTCTTTTGGGTTTTTAAGAGGAGTGCTACATTGGTGATCAGGGGAGATGGGGTGTGGTGTGTGCATTGTCACCTTTGAGAGCCCAGGGGTTCTCTGGGGTCTCTTCTTCCCAACAGCAATGATGATAAGCACCCTTTCTTGGTGCCCGTCGGGTGCTTTTAGACATGTCATTTCTATTTCCCTTACCCACAAAGAAACAATTATTATCGGGATCCTAAATTTAAAAACAAAGTAAAAAATGTAGTTTACATAGCACGCAATTTGTCCACTTAGAGCACACAATTCAAACACTTTTTTGTAGAGTCAGGTTGAGCAACTACTATAATCTAGTTCAGAACATTCTCATTACAGCTCAAAAATACGAGTCACCCCTTCCTCCCCGCACCCCAGCTTCAGGCAACCACTCATCTTTCTGTTTCTTAATTTGCTTGCCCTAGATGTTTTGTTTGAGTAGGATCATAGAGTGTATGGCTTCTCGTGGCTGGCTACTTTGACTTGCACAGTGGTGTTACACACCAAAGCGTGTATCAGTACTTCACTCCTTTACTGTGTGTAGAACCCTCATGAGTCAAATGCTTGCTTTACACAGAAAACTGAACCTCAAGGACAGTGGCTTCCCAAGTACACAGCTAGGATACCGCCCATAACACATATAGCACACTCGGGGTCTATCTGCTGTAACCACTGTTCTCCACGACATGTCATCTGCAGGCACTGAGGTTGGACATAGCTCACACAGAAGGGAGACAAAAAGGAGAGGGAGCAGGAGAAGATAGGCAAGGAAGAGAAGATTGAGGCCATTTTGAAGCTAGAGCACAGAGCCCTGGTCCCAGGGTGAGTAGTGTGACGTCTAGTGTTTATCCTCTATCTTGGTCCATGCCCTGCCCTTACAAGTTTGGAACTATTACTCTGGAGTTGGGCAGGACTGAGAGCTATAGGGGGGAGGTGGGGTGGAGGCTACAAGGAAGAGTCAGACTGGAAGCAGCAGGTCCAGGAAAAACCCGAGGGAGGAGAGCTCAGGTGACTCTGGCCTCCTGCTTCCTGCTTCCTGAGGGTGGATCTGCCTGGGCTTCTAGCTGGAGTTAGGCCTCTGCTAAAAGTTCTGAGGTTGCCTGCTACATTCTCTGGCTCACCACAAACCATCTGTTTTCAGGTGTCTGTGGAGGGGTTGTATATGTGGAAGTCAGGGAGACACTGGCTCATTCTAGTAACAGTGACAGTCACCTCAGAGCTACTGGTCAGTAAGACACATCATCTGTGTTGTCACCATCAATGTTCACCTTTTCCTTGTCACCATCAATGTTCACCTGTCTGCAACCTGGGGCAAGAGCAGCCCAAGTCGGCCTGTGGCCCTGTCCTCACTTGACCCCATCGGGTTATTTACAGGATGGAGCAGGGTTTGGCAGGGATCTTCCTCACCAGAGGCTTTACCCCTTAGGCCTGGAACCTGGAGGTTTCTCATTTCCCTGAGGGATGTAGAACTCAGGTACTGGAAGCTCTCTCTATTCTGCCTGAGTGTGAGGCCTGTGGCTGAGGCCAGCCCTGGCTGGGGAGGGGGTGGGTTTGCAGGGTGAAGTTCAAGGAGCAGAAATAAATATGAGGGCAGGCTGGGCAGAGGGTACATGGCCCATAAAGGGAGGCTGGGTACTGGCGTTCTTACCTCTAATTGACTCCAGGAGCTTGGGAAGAGAGGGCGGGGCTGACATTTCCTAAGCTTACATTCTGTGCCAAATGCCAGCCAAGTATTTTCAGAGGCACAGACACTGCCAGGCTGGACTCTGGTACAGCCCAGAACATCCTTCTGGTTCTATCTGCAGATGTCTGTGGCCTGGCCATTCTCTGGGTTTACTCCAGCACTGATTTCTTTCAGGGATCCTTCCCTGGACGTAGCAGCCTGGGGCTGCCCAGATTCAGAGCCCTTACTGGCTGGCCTTCCGCTTTGGTCATGGAGCCCTTATCTCTGGATGGCACTTTCTATTTATTCAGAGGCAAAACATTTGACTTCCTTGACCTTGAGTTTAACTGTAGAGGTGCGTCATGGTGTCTATCTAGGGTGCAGAGTTGTTTTGAGGATTCAGTGAAATGACAAATGCTTAGGGGTGATAAGCAGGGTCCTCTGGTAGGTACCTTCCAGCCTCGTCACCCAGCTGGTGCTATACATCTGTGCCCCTTCAGAGTCGTCCCCATAGGGCTTTATCAATGGTATCTGCCCAAGTGACTGTGTTCTGACAGAGACGCCCTTCTGAGACCCAGGGGACTCTGAGGGACTGGGTAATAGACTTTCACTATGCTGAGAGATTTCAAGGATCATCAGAGGAAAAGACAAAACCAAGAACAAACAAGCAAAACCCAACAATCAAGAGGGGATACTGGGGCCAATCCGACACCAGGGAGAACTCAGAAGCCTCACGGTGACTCTGGTCCCTTCTTCCAAATGGCTGGGGAATGGTTGTCAACCTTTGTTTGTGCAGCAAAGACTACAAATGAATTCCAGCACCTTTTCCCAGTGACCAACCCAGAAAATACTTGTGCACAAATACAAATACCAGTTTTATTAAAACAAAGGCAAGAACAATTAATTTCAGAGCTGAGTAAAAAACAAACATTAAGTAAAAAACATGGTTAGGTTCAGACAATCAAACAGTTTAAAGGAGGTGATCCCCCTGCGCTATTGATTAATTCACTAAATCATAAAAATAATTTATGTCTACAAACACATTCCCAAATAAACAAGCTGGAAAGGGCCTTGGAATTTTCTCAGCTATGCACGCACTTACTGCTCCCACCAATATTTAAAGCAAAAATAGGGTGGCTATGGCTAAAGCAAGAGGCTGTGTCAAGGATACTGGTTTCTCTGCTCAGAGGTGCCTCCTCAGGCCACAGTCAGAAGATGGATGGGTGGGCCACTCGGGTGCTGGAGTCCATTTTATTTCCAGCAGTTGCCTCATTACAGAAGGAAGCTGAAGTCCTAGTAGGCAGAAGTTAGTGGCTCCAGCCATCTCTCTAGTCTTAGCTAATTAGGTCTCAAGATGCCCATGGAATAGGGTGGTGGTTGTGGCCTCAAGATGCCGAGGGAAACAGACCTGGTGCCTCTTGTAAGTTAAACAAAGACGAGGGAGGTTGGCTGGTAGCCCCTCCCCCCAGTCCCTTAGGTTTCATGAGGTTTCTGGGAATACTTGGAAGAAAATATTCGTGCGATTCTGCGAGTCTCTTCCTCAGGAAGGTTGGGAGGGAGAGAGTTAGGTCTGGGGCGACAAGGCCTCTGGGCAAGGGCTCCCCTGGTGGTTTCACTCTTGTCCTGGAGAGAAAGACATCAGCTAGGTTAGCACTGAGGGAATAGCACTGCCAGTGCTGATTCTGGTCCCGCATGCTCTGGTTCATGGGCTAACAACGCAGAGGTGCCTGGTGTGCAACCCACGCCACATGCCTTGTTCTGTTGAACCCTTGCCACAGCATCACAAGGGACAACTTTCTCCCCACAGTTCAGGTGCAATTAGTTCAAGGTCATGCAGTTCTGAGTGGCAGAGCTGAGGTGGGAATCCAACCTGAGCAGCTACCATAGACAAAGCCATGTGCCCATTCATCGTTGCCTACGTTGCCTTTTTTGGCATACTCTGCCAGGTTTCCGCCCTGAAGCTCAGATCTGTAGAGTAAAGCCTGGGCAAGCCAGACGGGAAACGGTGAGTCGGGGTCTCACTAGGTACCTCTGTCTGGAGGGGCTGGTCTCTGACCCTCTGTCAATCCCTAAAACCAGATCTTTGTTTTCACATTTGTTAGAAGTTCATGAAATGACCATCACATCTGCTGGTGGCTCATCAGGCCTTCTAGAGACGTAAGATCTACTCCATCTGATCAACTCATGTGGAGCACATACAGACATGGCTCCTGTCCTTGCTCAAGACAGAAGGGAGGTGAACATGGAGAAAGGAGCCATTAGTAACAGCTGGGAAGGCCCAGGTAGGCTTCGGTGAGTGCTGGATCTAAGACAGGCTGAGTTTCAAGGAAACTAGGGTGGGAGAAAGGCCACTCAAGAGGAGAAAGAGCATGTACACAGACCTACAGCTGCTGCTGGATCCTCTCGCCCTCAGAGCTAAAGCTAAGGTGGTTCGTTCAGCCAACCTTCTAGCATTCACACCCAGACCCAGCGACCCACGAGACCTTATCTACATGGCCCAGGCCTTGGCCCCATGTGTAGGGAAGAGGGGTGGGACCCATATACTTAGCATCAACTGTTGACTTTTAGTAAGTGCTAAAGAATCTCTTTATTATACTTGTTATTGCAAAAACACATAACCCCGAAGGCCTGGGCAGAAGGAAAGTGTCCAAGGCAGGGGCATACCCAAGTGTGTTCACCATTCCTCTATACACTGCCATGCTCCTGCCTAGGGGAGCCACACAGCAAACAAAACAAGCAGGTGCACACCAGCCTAGCATCCACACTCCTGAGGAGGCATGAGAAGCCCACGTGGAAGTGGATCATCAAACTTTAGGGGTTGTAGAGCCTTTGTGTCTGAACAGAGGGGCCATATGTGGAGTCCCTAGGGGGGACTCCAAAAAAACACGGAGGTGGGGGAGAATATTTTTCTCTTTGTCCAGGTCCTTGTTTGGTGAGCAATGTGGTCTGATCCCAATTCCCGGCCCCTTCATTATACCTCTAGATGTTCCTCGTCCAGGTTATGTGCTCCTAGGGAGTGGTGGGTGCAGCTGTTGCCCCTAGTCTTCTTAAAGCTGCTCCAACCTTTATATACAGGGGAGGTAGTGGGATGGAGGGAATATTGGTCTGTGGTATAGATGACTTCTCTCGCTTAAGACTGAGATCCTTTCTGTTTGTGGTCTAGGTGCTCACTGCTGAGTGCAGGTAGTAACTGGTTTTCTTTCTCTGGTAACCGTGAAACTCAGAATTCAGATCTGAATGAGGCTCATGCCAGGTACATCATGCAGAACACAGGGCTATGCCAGAGCTAGGGCTGACTCTGCCTCAGACACCAGAGCAAAAACAAAGTGTTTATTATCATCTCAGGCAAGAAGTCAGGCCTCACAGGCTCTGAGCAGAACTAGGATCTGGCACCTCCCCAAAGTATGCTTAGTGCTTGACCAGGCAATTGTTCCACAACTGCCCCCAACCCCCAGCCCCAAGTGATCCTCTGGACTGGGTTCATGACCAAAACTATTCTCTTTTAGAACAGTTTCCTTAAGTGATGAGAAACAACACTGCAGAGAGAAAAACTGAAAGTGAGCGGCTGCCCTGCTCAGCCAGGCTGCCTGGGCTGCTGCTTCAGAGGCCGTGTGAGGACGCCATGCAGCTGCCACCTTGTTCAACTCTCACCCCCTTGGCTGGCTGCCTTTCACTTCCCCTTCCTAAGGTAGTGACAAGGACTTCCCTGACACTAAAGACAGGAGAGAACTTAGCAGCTACAGCTAAGGGTAGGGAGAAGTAGGGACAGACACTCAGACCAGAGTCCCAGCCCTGAGCTACAGTACGGCTGGCCTGCTCAGCTGACTCCATCACTGTTAGCACTCTACTTACCGGGCTCTTGCTCAAGTTCCCCTCTGGGCCTTACCACCTAGTACCTCTGTCCTTTGGAGAAGTCATTCCTAAGAGGCCCAACCTCAGTTTCCACAATGAAGGGCTCAGGAGAGCCAGATAGACTCCTCAGCCCACTAACCACAGTCCAGACTCCAGAGAACAGTGGGTTAGAGAATCAGTCCTGGCAGAGTTCCTGGGTCCTGCTATACACCAGTCTGCTTGCAGCTCAGGTCTAGACTTGAGCAGAGCACATGCCAACAGGTCCACAGGCCTTTCTGGGGAGGCACTTACCAACTTGCTGTCTAGGTCAGGCTAGGTTCCAGACAGTTCTGGCTTCTTCCCCGTCTCCTGTATATTCTTGGCCGGGTCGCTCATCTCCTTCTACAAGTTTTAGGTAGCCATGATCAGAGCCTCCGTGACCTTTAGGTCTTTTTTTTTTTGAACTTTGTAGAGAGCTAGGGATTTGGAGGCTCAAAGAAGGAGACAGTAGGTCAAGACCTCTTGCTAAACAAGAGAGGCAGCTCAGCCATAAAGTCTGGGCCTCAGTCTGAGACAAGAGGGCCCTGACTCCTTTCTGGTATGATCTGGTCACTGTGAATCTTTCTGGTGCCACTGGGTTTAGGAGGGAGGAGCAAGCAAGGGAAGGAGAATTGTTTGGCTCTAGGGAGAGCAGAACCTACAGCCTTAGCAGTAACCGTTGTGGTTAGGAACATAACCTTGGTTTGTGCTGTATGCTGGTCTGGTCTCTAACTCTGTCTGAATTGGGTCCAGCCTGCTCTCCAGACTTCTGGAGCTGCCCAGCACCTTCCTACTGCTCTCCTGGCCCCCAGCTTTGGATCATGAGCCTCCCTCCCAACACTTCCGCCCTACCATTGCCTCCCTCCTCTCCACACATGCCAGAATGGAATAGGTTATAAGAGAAGAAATCTAGATAATAATGACAGTAAAATAAGACAGTTAATACTCATGGTACTTACTGTGTTAAGGGCAAGAACTGTTTAAACACTCCACAAGCAACTCTAGGTGGCAGGTTCTCTTATGCCCTCTTTTTAAATCATGAAAGCACACAGGAGTCAGATAACCTGTCCCATGTTATGTCTATAGGCAAAGATGAACTTTAAACTTTGGTTGTCTGGATTCAGAAGTCATATTTCTATAAAAAGAAATCAAGTCAGCACTGCCTCTCTAGATCAGAGAGCCCACTGCCTAAGACCCGAGAAAGCCAGCAGCAGATCTGTCTGGTGATGTCTCAGCTCACCTGCTGGGCTCAACAATAATGGAGGCAGGCACCTCAGGGCCTCCAGGGTAGTCATTTCTGGCCTTGTCTTCTACTTCCTGCCTCTTACACTCACTGTTTATGGAGAACCGTGTCTGGCCCCATGTCTGTGGTTAACCCAAGGCAGAGTCTGGGCTTGGTGGGGGAAGGCACAGGACAAAAGAGGGCTCATCTCATGGGAAGAACCAGTCTGAAGGCAGAGAGGACAGGTTGCTTCTTGCTCTTTAATTCCGAGCCTGCGGACTGCTTTCGCTCGGGCTCCTCTCTCTTAACTCCTCTTGGGCGCATACTGTTGGCGCCATCTGGGTCGGGTGATTTCCTAAGGCTTCTTCTCTTCGAATTGTACAACTCTAAAAGGTTTTCCTTTATCTTTGCTGACTTTTCCTCTGCTTTGCTAAAAACCATCAGATAACATTCCTAAAGCTGCCACCAAGTCTGTTCCCTTATTTAGCCACTTTCTCCTCCTGAGGCTGACTACCAAAGCCCAGCTATCAAAAGTCCCCCTTGGCTCACCTAATTAA